TAAATTGCAATCACGTGATGACCCTGTAAGAGGGAAACAATCAATGGAGACCATTGATCATATCTAAAGACGAGTTGTCTCTCTTTGCATAAATCTTCGAATGTACCCTATAGGCATTGGAAAGCGATTGTACTTACTTGCGCAATGGATGTTACTGATATCTTTAAATAAAGCCGAAGACGAGTTGTCATTCTTTGTAAAGAGAATTATTCCATCAATTTTCTGTTGATTAAGTTTATTCCACATTTAAAACATGTTTAATTGCCCTAAGTAACTAAGTGACTATAAAGGACTAATATACATAAAACTGAAAACCGGTTGTTGCAAACAATGACATATTTCTGTACAATAACAATAACATACTTTAAACCGGAGTTTTGTAGCATTTACAAAACGTGCTTTCAACCTTACAACAGATTTTCTTGGTCTTCAAAAATTTAGCAAATTCAAGGTACTGCAAATATTTTTTTTTGTTATAATTTTCAGTTTTGTGTATATAAGTAGTATAGGGGTCTTAAGAGACCCCTATACTACTTATATATGTCCTTAATGTATAACCTTTGAAGTAATTTTGCAAATTTTTCATCACTTTACATTGTGAGCTTTGTCTTTTTAAATGCAAATTGGCCTACTTTCACTTTGGACCCATATAGCGATAATCAAATATGGCTGACAATGCGGAATCACCCTAAATCAACTTTGAACATTTTTCTTTAAATTTTAACCATTGTCATTAGGTTATATTTCTAAAATCTCTTTTTCAACGTGGCGTCTGACCACGGTCTGCACTGGTCGTTATTCAGTAGGTATATGTTTAAAACTTTCCCTAAAATAGATGAATGTTTAGAAAGATTGACAATTACATTTAATATATTAAGCGTGGTTAAATTTAAGTAAAACGCTAAAGTAATAAATCATTTGCATTTGTATCACGTTATAACACTGAGACGGTTCTTAGACGGTTTTGTAGCTTTCTTTTCAGTAACTATCCGCTGTATTGAAAAGTCTACATTGGCATTCGTTAAATGAAAAATGTAAGAAAAAAGTTCTACATGTATTTTTCTACTTTGTGATCATGATTTCTTCAAGTGTATTGAGCTATTGCTGTAACACTGTAGTGAGTGAAATCCTATACAAAACTCCTACCTGAAAAGATAGACGATAAAAGAAAGGTTGTTTTACTTTCAATGTTGTATGTCATTGTTGAATGTTGTATGCCAGTGTTGAATGTTGTATGCCAGCGTTGAATGTTGTATGTCATTGCCCAATGCTGTATGCCAGTGTTGAATGTTGTATCTCATTTTTTAAATTTTGTATGCCATTGTTGAATGTTGTATGCCAGCGTAGAATGTTGTATGTCATTGTTGAACAATGTATGCCAGTGTTGAATGTTGTATGCCAGTGTTGAATGTTGTATGCCTGTGTTGAATCTTGTATGCCGTTGTTGAATGTTGTATGCCATTGTTGAATGTTGTACGTTATTTTTTAAATTTTGTATGCCATTGTTGAATGTTGTATGTCAGTGTTGAATGTAGCATGCCTGTGTTGAATGTTGTGTGCCGTTGTTAAATGTTGTATGCCAGTGTTGAATGTTGTATGCCAGTGTTAAATGTTGTATGCCTGTGTTGAATCTTGTATGCCGTTGTTGAATGTTGTATGCCATTGTTGAATGTTATATGTCATTTTTTAAATTTTGTATGCCATTGTTGAATGTTGTATGCCAGTATTGAATGTTGTATGTCATTGTTGAATGTTGCATGCCTGTGTTGAATATTGTGTGCCGTTGTTAAATGTTGTATGTCAGTGTTGAATGTTGTATGCCAGTGTTGAATCTTGTATGCCTGTGTTGAATCTTGTATGCCGTTGTTGAATGTTGTATGCCATTGTTGAATGTTGTATGTTATTTTTTAAATTTTGTATGCCATTGTTGAATGTTGTATGCCAGTATTGAATGTTGTATGTCATTGTTGAATGTTGTATGCCAGTGTTGAATGTTGTATGCCAGTGTTGAATGTTGTATGTCATTTTTGAATGTTGTATGTCATTTTTGAATGTTGTATGACATTGTTGAATGTTGTACGCAAGTGTTGAGTGTTGAAATGTTGCATGCCAGTGTTGAATGTTGTATGCCGTTATTAAATGTTGTATGCAACTGTTGAATATTGTATACCAGTGTTGAATGTTGTATGCCTGCGTTGAATGTTGTATGCCATTGTTGAATGTTGTATGCCATTGTTGAATGTTGTATGTCAGTGTTGAATGTTGTGTGCCGTTGTTAAATATCGTATGCAAGTGTTGAATATTGTATGCCAGTGTTAAATGTTTTGTTTTACAGTGCTGAATGTTGTTTATCAATAATGAATATTGTATGCCAGTATTAAATACTGAATGACCGTATTGAATTTTGTATGACTGAAGTGAATGTTGTATGATAATGCTGTTTGGCAATGTTTGATATTGTGTGACATCAGTCAGTGTCGTGTGGTAGTGGTAAATGTTGTACCAATTTAACAATATAAATTAACCTAAGAGGACAATGTTAAATAATGTTAGACAGTAGTGAATATTGAATGACAAGGTTGAATATTGAATGACAAGGTTAAATATTGAATGAAAAGATTGAATATTGAATGAAAACGTTTTGAATGACAAGGTTGAATATTGAATGAAAACGTTTTGAATGACAAGGTTGAATATTGAATGACAAAGTTGAATATTGAATGAAAACGTTTTGAATGACAAGGTTGAATACTGAATGACAGGGTTGAATATTGAATGACAACGTTGAATATTAAATGACAAAAGTTGAATATTGAATGACATCGTTAAATATTGAATGACAAGGTTTAATATTGAATGACAACGTTTTCAATGACAAAGTTAAATATTGAATGAGAATGTTGAAATTAAAGGACAAGGTTAAATATTGAATGACAAGGTTAAATATTAAATGACAATGTTAAATATTGAATGACAAGGTTGAATAGGGAATGACAAGGTTAAATATTGAGTGACGATGTTGCATTTTAAATGACAAAGTTGAATATTGAATGACAAGGTTAAATATTGAATGACAATGTTAAATATTGAATGACAAGATTGAATATTGAATGACAACGTTTTGAACTTTTGAATGACAAGATTGAATATTGAATGATAAAGTTGAATATTTATTGACAAGGTTAAATATTGAGTGACAAGTTTGAATATTGAATGATAATCTTTTGAATGACTAGGTTGAATATTGAATAATAAGGTTATGAATGACAAGGTTGAATATTGAATTACAAGTTTGAATATTGAATGAAAGTATAAATCGTGTTATGTGGTAGTTATATAATTTATAGTAAATGATATTTAATGACAGGTTTGAATATCATATCACCATTTTGAGTTTCGAATGTCACTTTAGTCACGTGATTCCATTTTAGCCTGGCATGAACTCGCGACAAAAGGAAAGTGCTTTAGAATTATGTAAAAACTTGACCGCCAGCAACTGTCCGCGACAGTTTCACTTTGTATCAGGAATCATTCACCGTGGACTATTATTTCTAATCGCGTACTTCATGTCCGATCAAAAGAGATGCTGCATTTTAATTGGTCAGCATTCAATCTGACACGTGACTTGTAGAATTGAGGTGACATAGAGGATTATAGACGCCATGGGGAGAGTGCCCTCAGAACTAATAGGTACGTGATAGAGTATAAAAACTCGTGTAACCAAATGATCCATCTTTCTATGAATTATATCTTGTTAATAAAAGAAAAAAAAATACTGTTAGTTTATTCGTTCATTCATTCATTCATTCATTTTTTCACTCACTCACTCACTCACTCACTCGCTCGCTCGCTCGCTCGCTCGCTCACTCACTCACTCACTCACTCACTCACTCACTCACTCACTCACTCACTCACTCACTCACTCACTCACTCACTCACTCACTCACTCACTCACTCACTCACTCACTCACTCACTCACTCACTCACTCACTCACTCATTCATTCATTCATTTACTCATTCATTCATTCATTCATTTATTTATTTATTCATTCATTCATTCATTCACTCACAGGGAAGACACGTTGCTAATGTTGAGAGAACTTGTCGGTCAACCCTTTTGCCAAATATTTTATGTCATTGTATTGTAAATGTTTACATGAATGTATATGTCTTTTTTGACAATAAAATATGTTTAAATCAATCAAATTCATTCATTCATTCATTTCAATAATAACAGTAACAATAGAAGGAGAAGAGGAAGAAGAAAATCATTATGATTGTGATTATTATAGTAACTCACAATACATGTGTACAGTTCATATAAGTATTAAACAAACATAAAACAAACAATCGCCAAACCCCCATGATCCTATAAGTCACTGGGTTATAGAAAACGGCAGCATGAATTATATATGTATTTATCAGATACCTTGTGAAACCGAGAAACTGAAATCCTTGTTGTTTCTTTCCAAATGTATGACGATATTGAAAAGCTAAAATTGAATTTAGATGTTGATGTTTTTTTTCTCTCCCCATTTAAAAAAGACGGACTTTACTGGAAAATAAACTAATGAAAGATATTTAGTGGCATCACATATTCTTAAGCCAAAATAGGCCTAAACACGCGCACGATTATTTTGTCTTTCATTTCTGTATTTTACGGCACAATGCACGATGAATTTTTGCCTTTACTCCGAACGTTCTGTGATAGGCGCCAAATTAGTGTAAAGTCAATTTATAATCAATTATACAAACATATCGCCGATCCGAAGAGCAGACTTTTTCCTGACAATCTATGTTAAAGTGATACTTTTTTCGTCCAATCAGAGCTGCTGTTAGACGTTATTATGTGGAATCTGTCAACATTTTCTTGTCCAATCAGCGTTCGTCGACTGTTGCGCTATTAGTTTAAACATATTTAGGGTGATTTATAATTATTTTGTGGACAAAAATGCGGGATACATGCGTATCATTTATACGTGAAAACCGTGCAAATTCCATAGTTTGTACGTGAAAATCGTGCAAATTTCATTGTACATGGTCTTTTGTATACGATCGTTTTATATTTTATGAATGTATTTTACAGTGATTTATAAAACATTAGTGACAATCGAATTACTTTTATTTAAGCCGGTTAAGTGAATAAATTTTAAAAATTCCACGCGTCAAAGGACCTCAAACTTCAAGACTGCCGTCGGCGGCGGCCCTGATTGTTCGAAGTATGAATCTCTCCGGCGTACGGCTTCGAGGTGAGAGTTTTATCAGTTGTTTTTTCTTCTTCAAATATACCAAAAGGATTAAAGTAATAAACACAAATGTGCATTATACTTTAGATTTTTTTTTAATGCATGTTGCATTTTCTTTCAAGTATTTACTGTATCACGTGTTTTTCACTTTGACCAAGTACTTTACTCTGTGACCACGTGTTGTGTATCATGGCCACGTGTTTTGCTCTCTAACTACATGTTTTGCACTCTGAACAACAGAGACCACGTGTTTTGCAGTGGCACCACGTACTTTACACTGTGACCGTGTGCTTTCATTAGGATTACGTGCTTTGCACTCTGGCGTGTTTATCCCATGACCATGTTTTCACCCTGACCACGTGCTTTGCATACTAACTCGATTTTACAATAAATAAATTTTATTTTAATATCTTAAAACTGTTAAAAGTTTTATTTAATGTGATTCCCCATTGACCAGTTGACGGCCATGCTTGATTTTCACTTTGTGGGTCAAAAGTGAAAGTAGGACAGTTTTCAGATAAAGACCAAACTCACAATGTAAAATGATGAACACTTTGCAAATTCACTTTTAAAGACAAGTATAAATGAAACCAAAAATGATAACAATAAAAATGTTTAAGTTGAACATTGAGCTAAGTTCCTGAAGTGAAAGTAAAATCCTTTTACAAGGTTTAATGCACATTATATGAATGGTAAAATCCAGTTTAAAGTCTAATGCAGTTCCGTAAAATGTACAGGGGCTTCTGTCATATTTTTCCCCTCACCACCACTTTTCATTAGATTTAATACAATAAGGAAGATTTCACTGTGATGAAATGCATTACACAACCTTTCTTTTACTTCGCAATAATTCGTCCAAAAATCAAGAGCCCAATTAAGCATGAAAGATCACTGTTTGTCTTTCTACACAGTGGTTAACCAGTCAATCAACACATTTGTATACATGTTATTTGACCATTCTCTATATTGTTTGGCTGATTTTTTTTAAATGTCTTAATCTTGACATCCCCTCAAAATGGGTAATAGACAGTTCCCTCAAAAAACTGACCCTGTACATATGTAAGGTAGACTTCTCTATTATAGAAATTCGGCAGGTTAAGGGCCCTTAAGCGTTTTGTGGATGATCCGTTTCTACGATTTCTTCGAGGATGAACATGCATATAAATGATTTTTTATCATTGTGCTATTGTAACAATGAGAAAAACAGGCTGTTCAATGCGGAATTTCTGCAAAAAGATGGCCCGAGTGGTAGCATATAACAGGTGCGTGATGATGTGGTATCTAACCATTAAATGAGCCGCGTCATGACAAAACCAACATAATGGGTTTGCGACCAGCATGGATCCAGACCAGCCAGCGCATCCGCGCAGTCTGATCAGGATCCATGCTGTTCGCTATCGGTTTCCCTACTTGTTATAGAGTTTGTAAGCGAACAGCATGGATCCTGATCAGACTGCGCGGATGCGCAGTCTGGTCTGGATCCATGCTGGTCGCAAACCCATTATGTTGGTTTTGTCGTGACGCGGCTCATTTGTTTTTTATGTCTCATCAATGTACGCGCAGTATATACACACAATGTCATAAAGCATTTCAATATAAAATTTATAATAGACAAAAGAAACTACTTGTCATTTTCTAAATTCAGATACATTATGTGAATAAAAAAAGGTAAAAAATAGTTGACTCTGTCAATATACCTAAAAATACATCTTATTGAGATATATGCATATTGCACTTTTAGAATTTTGATATGGTTTTATAGTCAAGTAGCACTATCTTTTTGCGCGGAAGGTTTTCCCCAATATATCTGCACACCTTTAACACCATCGGTGCTTCGCTTAAAAGCAAGTGTGCGATTTTTCGGTTCACTGCTGTGCGCTATATCTTAGAAAAAAGTCTCTTTTATATTTTTTTAATTTAAGGGGAATCCGTAATTCGACCTTTTTATCTATTATATCGAGGGTTTTTATTTTCTCAATACATTAGAATATATTTAAAAAGAATAAGTTGCAAAATTCTACGACAGGGAATTCTAATTCTACAAAATTCGCTGAAACCAGTGTGAATTTTGATAAAAATGTTTTATTTTGCATATCAAAGTTATCTAACCTTTTAATATTGATGAAATTATGTTTGTATTGACTGCCAACAGCTTCTAGTAAAGTATCAATATTAAGAGATACATATATCACCATCTATTTGTTTTCAAGTGCGCATGCTACTATAATTTGTATGCGCATCTAGTTTAAAATATTCAAGTTGAGTGGTTGTAAAGTCACGTTTCTAAATTCGAAATATTTTTTAGGAAATATCATTGAAATATAGCATACAAACATATATCATGTAGGGTTTTTAGAATACATTTACGTAGAGTCTACATGGAAAATTAAATAAGTGAAGGTATAACCGAATTATATCCAAGGATATTAGGAATAATTAATATTTAAATACAGTTTTTTTGGACAATTTGACCTTCAAGGTAAAGGCCATTCAGGGGTCAAGGTAAAAAATACAGTTCCGTAGGAAGGTCTTGTGCTAAGGGATGTTGTGTTCAAATACAGTATGAATCAAATCCGTTTACTATTAAGGAAGTTATGGCCAATGTTAAAGTTTTCGGACTGATTGACGGACGGACAGTTCAAAACTAATATGCCTCCCTTCGAGGTATGCACAACATCTTGCAAAGAAATGCTGCTGTGCAAAAACGTTTTAATGGCTTTGGTAGACTGAAAATTTTATTTTCACCATCTGAATTACATATTAAAACCAGACACGCACTGCGCTTGTCTTGCTCGTAACGAGGTTATGGTGCTCACAACGAGGATTAAAGCAAAAAAGGGTATATCTTCGTTTCTATGAAGACTTTCAGGTAATAATTTACGCTGAAGACTTGTGGGCAGTTGTTTTAGGTTAGAATGCACAGAACTTCACCAGAATCGACGTTTTCAATGTTAAATTTGGTCCGGAGAGGAGTTGTCTCCAGTTTTCCAGCTACACAGAGTGACTGCGTCGCACGGTATTTCCATCAAATTGTCCACCAACAGGCAATATCTTTACATGTGCATACTCAGAAAACACACCGCTAGCTAACTGCATTCCGATATTTTTACATAAATGTCTGTAATCTTCAAAAATTATGAAAAACTCACCTTGTTTATCGTGTCACACATCATAGATGTGTGCTCACAACGAGGAACGGAAGTTGCTCACAACATTTTTACCGATTGACATTTTACACTCGTTGTGAGTTAAACGGGCGAGTCTACATGGAAAATTAAATAAGTGAAGGTATAATAACCGAATTATATCCAAGGATATTAGGAATAATTAATATTTATATACAGTTGTATTTTATGTATATATAAAATTATATTCATCATCTTAACAATAATATTATGTGTAATGGAAAGTTTATGAAAATACCTTAAATAAATGATTATTATATTTATAGATTAATTCAACTGCGTTATTTATAAAAAAAAAACCTACATGATATATTGTGTATGCTATATTTTATTGATATTTCGTCCAATACTATTCTGTTCTGTTCTATTTTGTTATTATCTCCATTTTGTTTGTTGATAGATTGTTTTTACATTTTAAGTTTGTTTGTCACAGGAATTTGATTGGCTCCGAATATCAATAAAGCCTTAGTCTTAAATAAACCGTCATAGTATTATGCGAGAGAGTGTTACTTTTATGTTATTATTTAGCATTTGTTGAAAGAATATTTAAAATATCTATAAATAGATGACGTTTGACCCGTTTTGGCGTGCATTTATTAGTTTATATAAGTCTCATCCAATACATATATTTATCTTTTATATTTTTAAAATGACCAATGTGAGATATTTTCCCAACAGTTTGTCTCTTAAACATTAATATGGTGAAATCTTTAAAGAGTCTGAAATAAATTATCCAGCAAACCAACGTATGACTCATAAAACACTTCCATATGTGCTTTCACAATGAAATAAATATAAATTTACATGTGCCTTAAAACAACAATTACAACAAAAACAACAACAAAACTGTATAAGACAATTGAAATATGTTTTTTTTCAAACAATCATGAAAAGAATCTTTTTTAAAAAGGCCTAAACTAGAGATAACTCTAAAAACGACCTAAAATAGACACTAATTCAATAAAACATCCTAAAATAAAAATAGCTCTAATGATTACGCCCTAAAATAAAGACAGCTGTAATAAAAACGTCCTTAAATAAAGATAGGCCTCAAATAGACGTAGATTTAGTTGTGCACTACAGATACGCACAAGTATTTTTGGGTAGGGTTTTTACGTCGTATCAAACATAGTATTGGTACTATGACGTCATTCCAAATTCACTGGTGTTGAAACTTAAAGTTCCGTAAACTAACTGGATAACTTCTTCATATGATAACTTAGTACTTGAATGTCTTTATTTAGATCATGGAATTCAGTTTGGGTAAAAGAAAAAACACAAGCAAACAAACTGTAATAAACTAGTCTTAGTGTCAGGCCTACCATATTTTCTTTTGTACTTCTAATACACTATAGGTACCAACATAATTCTTCGATAAAAAAGAACAACATTTTAAGTAAGCAATGCTCTTATATGCCAGATCAAAAACTTAAGGACAAACTTCTTTCATAGCATATTAAAATGAATTAATCGGATGTCCTCGGACGATCACTAATCTCTTGGTTTTTGCGCAAAATTGCGCGACTCTTAAAAAGGATTACTCAGCAATCTATTCTATAAACGCTCAAAAAATAAATCTTACCATAGAAATGTTTGATGTTTGCCCATGTAATAATGGAATAGTAATCAGGTTTAACCAGCAATAATACGTAATATTTAACCCCGCTTTGCTACCCTATGGGTTGCACACAATACATTAATTATTGGTAAACAATGGGGTGGGGTATTAATATGTCTTAATCTTGCATGGCAACCTTAAACATGTTTTTTCCAAATATGTTGTTTTTCAGCAGAGGATTTTACTTAGTACGCAAATGAACTAATAGGAACAGTCACGGGTGCTAGATATTATAATAGCCGATTTATACATGCACGAATTTTTTAATTTTTAATCATAATTTAAACGAAATAAAATAGTTAATTAATAATTAATTAACTTTAAAACGAGGATGTTGGATTTATTAGGGATAGATTCTGGGCAAAATCGTCAATTCATATCAGGTTTGTAATAATATCAATAATTTTTGGATGTTGAAAAAAGTGACCGTTGAAGTGCCCTGACGGTTTAGCAAGTTTAATATAATATTTCTAAATTATCTTTTTAAAGGGAAGTGGTGTAAACTTGATGATGCTTTTTTCTAACTTTATTTTTTGTTTGATTCCCTTAACGCGCTCCTGCTTGTTATGAGGTTTATTACAGTTGATCACGTGACGTGTCGTAGCAGACGACACTTTTTGGTTCCATTACTGGTGCAATATCTTGATAATTGACAAAGTTTCTTTGAAAAAAAAATGTTGAATAGATGGATATAATAGCAACACGAAATTATGGCATCACGAAAAGACATGCTTTTGAAGTCATTCAAAATTATTGAAATAATTACGCTTACTTAAGTTATGTTGTTCAATTGATGATTAAAGTATGGTTATTTTATAATTGATATATCTTATAGTTCTATCTTATAGAGAGCTGAGTTGTTTTGAAACTTTATGGTACAAATTATGCAGTTTGAATTCCATATCATCTGCTTTAATTTGTAAGTTAATATTGCACGTGTTATTCCTCGTGTTCTGGTTTCTTGATATCGTTTAAGTCACCTTTAACCCATAGCCTTCTGGCGGAAACTGAATCTACCCATGTGACCTTTGTAGAAATAAACAAATGAGTCAAGATATATAATCATAATCATCCTCTTAATAACTCATTGGTTGATATAACATTTGTATTGTTTAATATAGATTGTGTGACTATAATTGTGTTGTGTAAATATGTTATTTATGTGCACGGTGTACATGATGTACAAGTGAAATAAATGTTCTGTTCTGTTCTGTTCTGTAAACCAAGATCAGCCGACACTTCCATGTCGTCTGATTATGGTCTGCACTATTCACTATTAAGTCAGTACTCTTTTAAAATACTGGACGTTTTTGTACGGGCAGGTCAATCAAAAATATAAAGCGGGGTTGAGGATAATTACAATAAGAGAGTAAAGTACAAAATATATACATTTTTGTCATAGTATCAACATTTGACTTCAGATACGACGCCATTACAAAAACCGGATGTGCTCTGTAGAGTTTGCGGCGACAAGGCTTCTGGGAAACATTATGGCGTCCAAAGCTGTGATGGATGTCGGGGATTTTTCAAACGAAGTATCCGTAGAAATCTAGAGTACGTCTGCAAAGAGAACGGGACGTGTGTGGTCGACGTGGCTCGTCGGAACCAATGCCAGTCGTGCCGCTTTAAAAAATGCCTAGAAGTTCAGATGAACAAAGATGGTAAGATTTTTCTTTCAATCTCTTGATCTTCTAAATTTGAACATAATGTATTGTTTTTTTTCGCAGTTTTGAATTTTGAGCAGCCCATATGATGTTTGATTGATTTCAGAATTAAATGCTACATAGCATCCCAGTTCGAGTTAACAGTTGTTACCAAAAGTATTACAACAGTAATGATGAGTGTTATTTAAACAAATATAAACTACGAGGCCACATTTAATAGGTATAGAAAATTGATAAAAATATTGTCACGGATATTTTGAATTAAATGTATTAAACTCGCTTCTAACATCCAAAAAAAATAAAAAAATAAATAAATAAAAAAACACATTTCTAAAAATATGCGCGTAGTCTTAAATAACTTTTGTTTGAAGTATATTTTGGCACAGAGCTATATTAATACAATAATGTTATATAAAGTCTCGAATTTTGGACTTTTATATTGCAAAAGATGTTACCCATATAGGATGATTTCGTGTCGCTTTATTTTCTAATGAAAATTTATTAGTTAGTCTATATTACCAACCCTGGCATTGTTGTCATGAAATAAAAAATCAAAATCTGTATCAAAATTATCCTGAATTTATTTTTCATAGCTGTAAAAAAGCTTTCACTGATAATATAAGACATTATAATATGCACTTTGTTTAGTTAAAATTTTATGCTGTAAGTAGATACTTGTAGATATGGTAAAATGATAGTTTGCTTTGTTTGGATACTAAAGTCATACCGACACAGTAAATGTCGTGTGGTAACTTAAGGTATTTTTACTGTAATGCTTTCCCGCCAAAAACATTCTAACATCGGCCAATAGCGTAGCAAATCGGCTATTTCCGGAAATTCATTTTTTTCAAAATCTTGGGCGAACGGTTATTTACAATCACTCATCCTCTATCGCTATGTACTAAACCCCGATTATAACTTATTAAATACCGAAGATCGTGAAAAATAACGTTCCGGAAATGACCGATTAATTACGATATTGGCCGATGTTAGATTTTTTTGGGCTGGGAAAGCATTACAGTAAGACTACCTTAACAGCTTTCTCAGAAAGTATGAAAAAACACACAAAAAAACCTGATCTGAGAAGCTCTAAGCAATCTAATTTTGGGATAAAAATCAGGAGTAATTGTATGAATAATAAAAAATAACCTGATAAAATAACTTGATCAGAATTACAAATATATGTATAAGTGATCTCCAAATTTGGATAAAATTTAGAATTAACATCAAATTTTTAAACAAGAGTGTTAACGATTGGCCTTAAATTTTATGAACTGATGTAAAATGTGTAGCTTAATTTCAAAGCAAAACTTAATAAATGACTTTTTTTTAAACTTAACTAGTAATCCGCGTTACGATACAACTTTTTAAAAAAAATGGGTATGTTATTTCGATTATTTCATTCAAGAATTTATAGTGCATTCTTAAAATAAATTCTTTAGCAAAACTTAAAAATTACTGTGCTGTAACCATGCGACTTTGACTTTTTTATATTTTGCGCCAGATAGCATAATGTCTAAAGATCTAGTGTTTAATACATTTTGAAACGTAATATTAATCGATTAAATATAACACCACTTTCAGACTCACAAGAAACGAAATCTAACGTCTTCACTTCATTTTGGTACTCCTTAGAAGCCATTACTTGTTCAAATAATATGTTATGCCCAATACGTCACACTTATACGTTCGTTAATTGGTCAGAAAATCAAAGCGTGGCGACCACGTGATCGCAAATCAAACCTCTTCAAACTTCTTGACGATCTCGAGTTCTCAACTGGCCGCCATTAGGGATGAAACTTTAGCGTTAAGTAGACACTCGTCTTTGTAAAATTAACAGCCGTGTTTCCGTGCAAGAGGTTTTTTAAGAGTAGATGGGACACGGCACCGCCGAAATAATACCAACGAATCATCAAATCTTCATCTCAAGTGATTATTAACTAAATCTACTAGATTGATTCAATGATCACAAATCGTAAAGAAGACTGCAGAGAACATGCAAATCGATCTGACTGAAATCTATAGATTTATTAAAGGGACACCACTGCTGTTTATTTTTTTGTCATGACGCGACTGATATTTTTATTGAGATTTTTATGAGTACATCATTGCATTTGGTATAGGACTATAACAATAATGTGTTCACAAAACTTGTCTAAATTTTTTTTTGCTGTTGTCATTTTCATTTTCAATCCAAACAATTACTGCAATGAATGTATTTTACTTTTATGTTTTTTATTTCAGTTTTATCATTTTTTTATTATGCAAAATGATCTAAAATAGAACATATATTTTTTATATATTCATAAACATTTACTCGCCAATTGTTGAAAAGTGGAAAATAACTTCTGCCCTTTCCCGTTCTTTTATTTATTGCCTGTTTGCGTGACGAAAGGAAATCGGATTACTTTAAAAAAGTAACCAAATAAGGAATTTCATTTTGGTATTCAATAAAACATATTGTATGCATATAGTCGGTGATTATCAAAAAATTCACCGTTTCAATATGCAATAATGATATATGACATGACATGATATGATATGATATGATATGATATGATATAAGATATGATAAACGATATGATATGATATCATATGGTATGACATGAGTTGTCAAGTATGTTTTTTTATGAAATGAGTTCAAGACGTAGAGGATATTGAATGAGTGTAAGTTCAATATTGAATTTATTGAACGAGTTGAATATAATATTATGCGAGCCTCTGGCGAGCTTGATATTATTTTATTGAACCAGTTTATTAAATTTAGTAATTAACTTACACGAATTTAATATTCTACTTATCACATTCCAAAAATAAGACTGTTTTAAGTGTAAAAAAAGTTATTTTTCATTGACGCGCCTAAATATGTAGTATAACGCTAACATTTAGCGCGACTTTACAACGCAAATGACGTCACGTCAAAATGGATTTAACTCAATACAGGATTGGAGCAGTATCTCTAGACGCTTGCAGAAATCATGATCACAAAATAGATAAATATCGGGTTTTTTCGCCGATTTTTACATTTTTCATTCATTATCATATTTAAATCGGTGTGAAAAGATGAATTAGACCTTTTAAAGTTCATTTCGTTGGGTAAAAAGGCAATATTTTAGCATTTTATCATTCAAGCGCCTTGTCCGGTATATACCGGAATAGGGTTTTTAGTGTGGTGCTCCAATCCTTTTATTACCATTTTTACGTAGTCGCAAAAGCGGCACGGGTATGTGATAAAATGTTTATGATACTGACTGGACGTGCTTTTTTAATTTGTTTATACAATTAAATATATTTTCAGCTGTTCAACATGAAAGGGCGCCTCGGTGTTATCAGTATAAGAGGGAGGAGCTAGAAGGACAAGAAAGACATTCCCCTTATCCAATGGGTGACTTTCTTGACAGAACAAGGTGGGATCGATTACCTAACCCATATATTCCATAAAATTCCGTTCATTGTTTTTTTTAAACAAAACGTAAAAAATGATATACAGATGTTTTTATAATGTATGTCTAGTCTTTGCTCTACTTTTTCCACGAAACAGAATTTCAAAATTTGAAAATATTCAGCCGATCGAAATGCAACCCCCCCCCAAAAAAAAAAAAAAAACAAAACAACCCCCCCCCCCCAAAAAAAAAACAAACAAAAAAAACCCCCTGTCATCAGTAGCTTTATTTAACCATTCATTTAAACGTCGAGTCTATCTGGATGAACACAACGGGTGCAGGCCTACGAAAACTAATAAAAGCTATTTAAAACAGTTTATGCGAAATGGAATGTTACATAATTTCAAATTCAGGCCTTCACATTGGACAAAAAAAAGGGCTACCACTTAACGTCTTAACCAGCTTCAATCCTTTAACTTCTTGTTCTTTATTTATGTTACTATTACATAGAAAGAGCTTTATATATGACCCCGTCTTTGCTTAAGAATTTAATTTCAATAAAACAATATCTTCAGCCTTACATGTCTGATAGTTAAACTTTCTTTTGACGAAAATATTTTCTTTTTACTGTTACAGAACAGACTTCCGGCATGTGCAATACGGACCACAAATTGGGTTTCAATCAGAATTTGGTTATAACAGCGCACTTCCGCCTGGACGCTACACACCATTAGATCATCGTCAATCTTGTTTTCGCCCTATTCCTCATTCGATTTCACCTAACGTTACACAATTCCGCGACACAATGCCTACTGGATATAATTCATTACACGGTGTACGGCAGTGTGGCCCCGGTCACTTTACCACCATCGTATCACCAGCCGAACAAAACTTTGGGTACCAACATGAAATGACCAATCGACGACCGTATAATCTTAATCTGTTCCAATCAATGCCAGCTAGCAATGCAAATCTTTTCAACAAAAACAGCTCCAAAGAAGAACCGGTTGGTACCAGTCCTCCACAGAATAAGAATGATTCTACTGATGATATCAAAATAAACCAGTCTGGTTCGTCGGAGGAAATGAATGAATATATATCAGTTTCTAGATCCCCTTCGCCTGTGTCAAACGCAGAGGCAAGCCCTAAATCCAGTGACCGATCAATGCCCGAACAAAGTCCGTCTCCAACGTCAACAACAAAATCTTCAGTGGAGGAGAATGATGACGTCAAATGTGCTAGTATGTATAATTAATAATTCCTTTTAAGACATTGTTATTTTCGTTGGATATGATCTACAATGCATATGTGCCAATTAAAGTCGCCTAATTTCTTTCTCGGGTAGTTAGCTAAACAGTTGAACAAATAAATTTTCATAGATTAAAAAAAGAAAAACAAAAGTTTGTGATAGATGCAAACCAAGAGGTCTTAAGATTATTTCACATTAATATCTTATATAGGTTTCACATGATTTAGATATGCATGTATTATTTCTTAGCATAAATAATGGGTCGTTAGTGTTCTATATTTTGGCAATTTTAACAAAACAAATGCTTCCTATTTTCCAGTTTCTCCAGAACAAACCTCGTCCAGTGTGAGTCCTGATAGGCATGCAACACCTAAAACACCACGCCATGACCTAGACGGCTTCTTTCCAAAGTACATGCCCAGTAATACTCTGTTCAACATATCTAATTTAGGAATGTATTCCGAGAGCAATTCCAATAATCGAGCAGACGTATCACGTTCCCACATTGACGTCACATACGAAACTGCGGCGAAGATACTCTTCATGTCAATAAAATGGGCGCGCAATATCCCGTCATTCCTCGCACTTCCGTTCCGGGATCAAGCCATTTTATTGGAGGAATCGTGGTGTGAGCTATTTATCTTAAGTGCTGCGCAGTGGTCCATGTCGCTAGATACAAGTAAGGATTTGAACGAAGATATTCTAAAATTGTTCTAACGTTATTTCATTAAGCTGAAAAATTTATTTAGTTACCCGTATTGAAACAATTCAATTGTTTAATTATTGACCCTAGCTCTAAAGGCACGTTTAATGCTTAAAAGGCTTAAAATCATATCCTATGAAATTTATTCATAACATCTAAGATTATATTTTTCATAACCTTATGGTCGATACTCGAAATAGTTAAAATGTAGAATGTTTCTTTTAATTAACAAACATGAATACTGAACTTAAACAGAATAAATCATTTTTTTAAGTTTTAAATGGGAGTTTAATTACTGCTTAGCAAAGATTGTGTGCATTCGCCATTCTTTATAAGAAAACTACCAACATATTTGTTTTAAACGGACATTTTTGAGTCATTAATTTTCAAAACTTAAACATTTTTTTGGAGAACTGATGTAGACATATACGATTAAGATTTGCAACACAGTCAAACCTGTATGAATAACTGCGAATTAAAGTCACCTTGTTAATAAAGACCACTCGTCAACATACCTTCGCTCTTATTCGGATGTCCTTTGTTCACAGGTTTGGCTGTACATGCGCATTTCAGTCCAATATCGGTAAATATTTGACTCTTTAAAATATAGACCCATGGTATTTCCTTAAATAAGCGCTTTTTAGTCCCTTACCGGTTTAACCGGAGGGGACTTTAGGTATACCCTCCGTCTGTCTGTCCGTCCATACGTCTGTCCGTCTGTCAGTCAGTCCGTCAGTCCGTCCGTCCACAAAACTTGATCCCGCGATAACGTAAAAAGTACTGAAAACATTTTTATGAAACTTGATATATGGATAGATGGCAGTATGGAGATTATGCACGTCTTATTCTTTTCTTCCTATGTTGAAAATTCTGGTTGCTATGGCAACAAATAGTCTGAAAATATGGCAAATTTAACACATAAACTGGATCCAGTGATAACTCAAAAAGTACTGATTCAGAAAATAGTTTTATGAAACTTGAACTATTGGTAGATGGCAGTCTGGAAATTATGCACATCTTTTTCTTTTCTTTCTATGTTGAAAATTCTGGTTGCTATGGCAACAAATATCCTGAATTTCAAGATTTCTGATTTAAAATTTTTTCAGCTTTTTCACTATAAGTTCTTTATTTCTTAAGGTGTTTACTTCAAACTTTAATAATTAAGTTTCTGGTCATCAACCACATCATATGTGACAAGGTTTACAACTCTAGCACAAAAATTATCAGTATTACCTCCCTTGAACTTAGAATTTTTATGGAAAAAAAAAGTTGTCTTTTTTAAATAACTTCTTTATTTCCTAATGTATCTACTTCAAACTTCATATACATGTTTCTTATTTTCACTCAACATTTTTGTGAAGGTTAAATACTCTAGCAAGACTATTTCCAGAATTATGTCCCCCTTGAACTTAGATTTTGTTTCGAGAAATTGGTATTTCTTACTCCAACTTCTTCATTCCTTATAGGATTTACTTTAAAATCCCACATCGTAATAATATGACAAGGTTGTATAAACATGATTTTCTTACTAGGCAGGGAAAGTTAACACATTACTGTGATATAGACAAACTTAGAACTCAAAAGATTTAAGTTCATTCATGTCATTTATTCACTGTTAAATTTGAATGGTCAATGGCCCATCAGAATGTTGCTGGGGTTCTAACCGGTAGGGGACTTATGGATTGCTTGCAATACTATGATAATTGCTTGTTAATTTAGAAATTAAGCTTAATGTTACCTATTTAGCTGTAAGTTGCTTATAAATTATGTGATAAATCATTATGTACCTCTATAATTTAGGTTCTTTGATGTCTGCTATTGGGGTTTCAACAACGGACCAATCAGAACGTGCGACAGTGTTGTATTCTCAAATACGAATGTTGCAAGAAATCATTCTGAGATTTGCCGCCATGCGTATTGACTCAACGGAATATGCTTGTCTTAAAGCACTTGTCCTTTTCAAATCAGGTTAGTGCAGTATATTTTGTTGTTGATGCTGTTGTTTGCTAGTATGTTAATGTTAAAAGTCAAAAGACGTTTTAATTATTATAAGACTTTATATGAATATTTCTTTAATGTTTTATTAGTCTACGGTATTATTAAGTTAAAACAAAATTTATTTTATTTCTGTTGTGAAAGACGCTTTTGGCTAAAGAATATACTTACGAATAAGGGTCTCACAGTTAGAAAAGATTCTAACCGTTTGAATAGCGACCTGATAACCGATCCTTAGATTTTCCTTTATGGCAAGATATGGGATTTTATTTGCATTAGTCTACTGCAAATGATTAAAATACATATCCGAATATGGTCTTACATTTTTCCGTTAGGGTTGTACCGTACTCGATAAGATCGGACAAATACATTGTTGAACAATCAAAGTGTCATCTTATGATAAAAATCTAAGGAATTATATTAAACCAATTAAAAAAGTCGGTTCTTTGTCAAATACTAACCGTTTATTAAATTTTCTTCCCGTTTTATTTGCTAAAAACCGACCGTACCCGTTTAAACGGATAAATGCGACACCCCAACTTTCGAAGCATTGTATTGAACATTTGCGTCAAGTTATCCTCGGAGTACTAGTTCGACGCGTTAACCACGCGGCCATGACGCCAAATCATAGTTAATTTATTATAAGAATGATAAAATGTATATTTGTATTATATCTGTGTTAAGTACATTTTATTTTCTCTATACAGAAATCAAAGGGTTACGTGACTACCTTCAGGTAGAGCTTCTACAGGATCAAGCCCAGGTTATGCTAACTGAATACTGTTTCTCCAACCATCCAGCTAACAAGCTCAGGTTTGGAAAGCTCCTGCTACAATTGTCTAGTTTGAAAGCAGTCGGTCCGAGGTCTATAGAAGAAGTTTTCTTTCGACGAACCATAGGGAATATTCCGATCGAGCGTCTTCTTTGTGACATGTTTAAATCAAGTTAAAACGATTGCTCAGCGCTTCCAGGATACACAAGTCTGTCAAATTAACTATTAACCTGCGGGCGACAACTGATTCTACAAGTGGCTAGTGCTGACCAAGGTCATGGTCGGTACTGCTTGCTATTGAGTCTGTAAACATCCTGGAAAATTTCCCTAAAATGATGAATGGTTTTGTCCAGACTGAAAGTTGGACAAGTTCATTCAAAACATTTGGTGCAATTATGGTTCAAGAACAATTTCCCTGATAATGATCACCAAACGTTGAATTGAAATATACGGGTAACAAAATAACAGGGAATCTGAACAATATTCAATTCACTTGTAATTTTTTTAAATGGATCTTTTCACCTTCCATTTGTAGCACTGTCAATTATCAATTGTAGGGATATCGGAATAGAAATTTGAAGGGTTATTATATTCTGTTTTCTCAATGTGCAAACCTTGCAGGGTAATGTCGTTGCCAACAAGAACACGAAAGAGCATTACAATATAATGGTTTATCTTATTTGTACAAAGGGACAGTACTCCGGGAAACTCTCTCTACTATCAAACGTGAATATGTTTAATACATGTTGTACGTATAACTTCAATAGAATAATTTACAGCACATTTTTTTCCAGTATATTTTTTCTCTCTTTGGCTCTTGTTATTTTTGTAAATAAAAGAGGCGTAATAACGCAAACTTAAGTAATATCAAATGTTTTAAAGTGGATTTGTCTTACAATAGGAACATTGTCCATCAGTACATCAAATATTTAAAAAAAAACAATAGAAATTTATCGTTTTGGATATTCTTATAAGATATTTCCTAAAACATATGTTGCTAGGGAGATCCTAATGATAGAGTATGAACATTTATATGATGAATTATAATCTTAATGTTTTTCTTACGACAGCTTAACTTAATACCATTAATATAATTATTTATTTTATCATAAACCTTCAATTATGAACCAATCCACTTTAAAGAATAGTTACGTTCTTCAATATGACAATGACTGGGTATCATTCTGTATTATTGCTATGTCCTATGTTTTTAATTGGTCAATGAAAGATTCGATAAAAAGTTATTATCTTCTTTATTCTATTTTGCATTGAAGAATCTGTTAACTTTATCATTTCTGTTAGTTTATTTTTGTTTGTTTGTATTGTTAAAAATAAAAAAAGATATGGTAAAATTGTCAATTATGTTCACTTGTATCTTTTTTTGCATCGTACATGCATTCCCATTTTATTTGTATAAATCCATCCCGGTAAAAGTTCAATTTATAGTTTTAAGCTCCACTTTTCAAAGACAAAAATTGGAGCCTTTGTCGTGACCCTCTCTC